TAATTCAATGAGACTAATTAAAAATAATTTGCATTCTGTTATGACAAATGCTCATTTAGATAGCCTCATGATGGTTGGAATACATCGTGATAGGTGAAGCAACCTCGACCATGACGACGTGGTTGACAGATTTCATGCAAAATTTCCAAAATATAGAATTTCATTTTCAAGAATGAGGATTTGAAAATAAATTAGATGGTTGCATTGCATACTCTTTGTTTCTTGCTTTATTCAAAATGTTTTGGTTTTGGAAGCTGATGTCAACATTAGAAAGCATAGCTTACATGAAGTCATATTATAGTAACTCAATGCCTATCAAATAAGTAATAAAAATTCGCCATAATTCATCAAATATCCTGCCGGGGGCCCTAGGCGGCCACCTGGCCCCCAGCCAAGTGAGACTCGATTCGCTCCACTAGCCCTCCCGGCGGGGCCTTTAGCCCCTCCATCGGGCAGGTTCTGGCGCTACCCCTGCTACATACATACAATGGACCTATTAATAATTTGTAAGATGTCCATGGTAATGCTATAATTTTGTTAGCTCATAGGTTTTTGCAGGCATATGTCAGATGAATCATCCAGAATGGTTATGCTTAGAATGGATGCGTCATCAGGGTGATGTATATACAAAGCATCATTATCATAAATTGATTGACTACATACAATGGACCTATTAATAATTTGTAAGAGGTCCATGGTAATGCTATAATTTTGTTAGCTCATAGGTTTTTGCAGGCAGATGTCAGATGAATCATCCAGAATGGTTATGCTTAGAATGGATGCGTCGTCAGAATGATGTATCTACAAAGCATCATTATCATAAATTGATAGACTACATACCTTGAATCAATTAATGATTTGTAAGAGGTCCATGGTAATGTTATTCTTTTGTTAGCTCATAGCCCAACTGGCCCACCCTCTCTAAAATTTCAAAATTTAAAAGTAAAGAAAAAAGGAATAGCCTAATTTTGTGACTGGCTATGATGACTGAGATGGACTATGTTGATTTATTAATAATATTTTGTTTGGGATGAAAAAAAGGAGAGTCCATTTCCCCAAAATGCTCCATCAGCACATAGTTTAGTGGATTGTAGGTAAGAATGGCCCCGGAAAAAATGGCCCGGTAAAAATGACCCCATATGACAGGTAGGTAAAAATGGCCCCAATGAAAAATTCGGTAATAGAAATGATATATTTTTTTTTATCTTCAAATACTTAAATACTGTATAAGTAAGAATTGAATCAAGAAATAAAAAATGGCCCTCAATTATAAAATTCAAGAAAAAAAATTAATAATAAATAAATGCTGTAAAATACCCTGTAGCAAAAATTTAATTAATAAATCAACATAAAGAATATGCATATTTGAGAACTAAAATAAATTAGT